CGGCGGCGCCCACGACGGCCCGGGGGGCGGTGGCGGCCCAGGCGGCGGCGGCCCGGGCGGCGGTGGCCCCGGGGGCGGTGGTGGCGGCGGCGGCCCGGGGGGCGGCGGCGGTGGCCCGGGCGGCGGGCTCCTGGGTGGCTCGGCACACCCGCACCCGCACATGCACGGCCTGGGCCACCTGTCGCACCCCGCGGCGGCTGCCGCCATGAACATGCCGTCCGGGCTGCCACATCCCGGGCTGGTGGCGGCGGCTGCGCACCACGGGGCGGCGGCGGCGGCAGCGGCGGCGGCGGCCGGGCAGGTGGCGGCGGCGTCGGCAGCGGCGGCTGTGGTGGGCGCGGCGGGCCTGGCGTCCATCTGCGACTCGGACACGGACCCGCGCGAGCTCGAGGCGTTCGCGGAGCGCTTCAAGCAGCGGCGCATCAAGCTGGGTGTGACGCAGGCCGACGTGGGCTCGGCGCTGGCCAACCTCAAGATCCCGGGCGTGGGCTCGCTCAGCCAGAGCACCATCTGCAGGTTCGAGTCGCTGACGCTCTCGCACAACAACATGATCGCACTCAAGCCCATCCTGCAGGCGTGGCTCGAGGAGGCCGAGGGCGCGCAGCGCGAGAAAATGAACAAGCCCGAGCTCTTCAACGGCGGCGAGAAGAAGCGCAAGCGGACTTCCATCGCGGCGCCGGAGAAGCGCTCCCTCGAGGCCTACTTCGCAGTGCAGCCGCGGCCCTCGTCCGAGAAGATCGCCGCCATCGCTGAGAAACTGGACCTCAAAAAGAACGTGGTGCGGGTGTGGTTTTGCAACCAGAGACAGAAGCAGAAGCGGATGAAATTCTCTGCCACTTACTGAGGGGGCTGGGAGGTGTCGGGCGGAGCAGAGTGGGGAGCCCAGGAGGCATTTTTGGGGGGCTTTCCTCTGTCTGCCTCCCCTCAGATTTGTGTCCGTTATCCTGCCTGGGTTTGGGGAGTCCCCCCTTTCGCTCTTTCCTCTGCCCCCTCTCTGCTTTCCCTGCCCGTGGGGTCCCCCAGCCTTAAGGACTGGGGTGCTGGGTGTGGGGAATGGAATAGAGGGTGTGGGAGAAGGGGGGAGTGTTAGGGAGAGTGGGGAGTGGGGGGAAGGAAAGCGGAGACCCGAGCAGGGTTTTTAAGGAGCAGGATGGTTCTGGGGTTTGGGTGGGGGGAGATGCGGGAAGGGTAGGAAAATGGACTGTTTTTGACCAGAGACACTTACCTAAATCTCCTGGGGACCAAGGAACTATGTACAAAAACAAATCTACCAACCACCAAAAACTAGACAAATAAAGGCAAACTAAAACAAAACAGAACAAAAGCAAAGGAAAGTGCTTTAGAAATTTAACTCCGGGGAGCCATATTGTGCAGCTTCATTTTCCCCCATGGAAGAGAAAAAAGAGCACCACCATTACCACCTCCCCAACCCTACACACACGAACTGAGTCAAAAAACGAAAACCAAACGAACCGGAAGTTGAAATTCCGGGTAGCAAAGCTAGTTCTCTCTGCGTATTTAATTTTTCCTCTAAATCTCACCTCTACCCTATCCATATCCTCTGTTTCCTTCGTTCCAATGAGATGCCAGTGGCTGCTCTCCAACGCGGGGAAGTGAGTGGAAGCACAGCTGAAAAGAGGGTGTCGGGGGAGGCTGGCTGCTTGCTTAGGTGGAATCTAAGTTTTCCCATGGTCCTGCCTATACTCTGGTGGCCTGGTCCTAGTGGGGTGGAGGTCTTTGGAGAGAGGGGCATAGTCTTTGAGCTAACTAAAAAGTAGAATTCCCGGGCTTCAAAATATCTTATTCTAGGAAAATGAAACAATTTTAACAAGAGTTTGTTTGTTTTTTTCCCTCTTATATTGAAGATTTAATTTTAGACAATTTCAAAATAAGTTTTTTCTCACGCATAGAACTTTAACTTGCCTTTTCATTTTTTTTTTTAAAGAGAGGTTTAAACTTTTTTTCCCCCTGTGGATTCAAATAGACTGATGGGGTGAAAGTTATTAGGAGAGATGCTTTCTCCTGTTTTCTCCACTGAACAAGACTCATCTTGTTCTTCTAGGTCCCCTTTCTGCCTCTCTTGGAGAACATGAAATTAATGAAATGTTGAGAAGTTCCTGCTTTCTGTTGGGGCAGGGCTTGGCTGTGAGAAAATCACCCTAATCCCAGAAAAGAAGAAGAGAGATTTGAAGTGCCCTCACCTCCATTTGTTTCAAAGAGCTCTCTGCATGTTGGGGGAAAACAGAACAACTGTGTTTTCTTTTAATTGTTCTTATTATTCAGGAGTCATTTATTACTGGGGATAAATGTTGGGTAGCAAGAACTTTAATTTGCACTGTCAGTCTCCCGAATAGAAAATCATGTATAGTGTTTCATAGTAATAATCAGGTAACTTACAAGCTGCTGTTGGATTTTAAAAAATAAGATTCTTGAGGTGGTTAGGTAAAATGCCTGCTTTGTGTACAAGATACTCTTTGGATCTCTTGTGGAGATGGTTTGTTACTATCCTTTAATCATAACTAAAACACTGAAAACAGAACAAATGAGAAAAGAAAAAAACCTGCCGAGACTGAAATCATGCATGATCTGAAAGGCGTGGAAAGAAATACAATTAGGTCTCACTCTGGTTAGGCATTATTTATTTAATTACGTTGTATATCATTGTTTGCAGGGCAAACATTCTATGCATTTGAAACTGAGCACTAAACTGGGCTAGCTTTCTGGTAGACCGTTTTGTGGATAGTGCGATTTCACAGTCTACTGCCTGTTTCCACTGAAAACACATTTTTGTCATATTCTTGTATTCAAAGGAAAAGGAAAAAAGGAAGATTATTGTAAATATTTTATTTAATGCACACACTCACACAGTGGTTACAAACTGCCAGTGTTCATCCTAAAATGTCTCACAGATTGATCTACCTGTCCATGTATGTCTGCTGAGCTTTCTCCTTAATTATGTCTTTTCTCTTTCACCTTTCCCCTCCCGTACTTCTATCAGAACCAATTCTGTGCGCCAAAATACAACAGGGGGATGTGTCCCGGTACACTTACAAATAAAACCTAACTGAAAGAAGAGCAATTTTATGATTTGGGTGCATTTTTGTGTTTACACTGGGCCAGGTCCTGTTAGAGCCTTTCAACAAATGAGACAATATAGCCAAAAAACCCCAACCAAACAAAAAAGAAAACACAAATGGGGGAGGAGAGGGTGTTGAAGGGGAATGAAAAGAGGGGAAAGATTGAGAATGATGTATTTTTTTGCTGATTCAGAATTCACTTTCAGATAACTCGTGAAAAGTGGTGCTCTGAATAAAATGAATTCTATATTAGTCGCCTGTGTTTATAATTTTTTTTTAACTGCAGAAACTTAAAACCACAGCACTCCATCCAGAGTGGTGAAAACAAATAACCAGATACCCCAAAAAACATTTAAATTTAGGCCCAGGGACAGAGGCATTCGGAGGTTTAGATGTGATATTCTAGCCTAAAAACACCTAGAAACTTAACTAAATGGCTTTTCTTTGGAGGTTAATACGTTTTAAAAACAGTCACTGATTGTCTGGATACCTTGTCAAATGCTTCTGTTCATTTAGAACATTTAGTGTGCCACCTACTGATCCAGAATGACCAGTCTCTATTTCTTGGTGACTTGAGACTTGATCAGATGCCAAATGTATAAAGTTTCTTAAGAGCTGGGAGTATATTACCTTAAGTCCTCTTATTTTAGCCAAATCTTTTAAATTTCACCAGCAAATCTGTGAAGCAAAACACTTACTGTTCAAAAAAGAGTAGTACACTTTAAAAGCTGTGATTTTAAATAGTTGTTAATTTTTTTTTTAAGCAGTAGAGGTATTTTTAAAAATAGAACTCTTCCATAAAAAGTTGATTTGTTTTTGTTGTTATTGACTTGAAATATAATCAGTTTTAAATAAAATGCATTTGTTAAAAAATCAGTTATTTTATAGAAAAGTATGACTGGATTTCATTGTTGGAAAACCAGGACAGAACAAATGAAAAGATTTACAAAGGTTGTTTGTTTTTGTTTTTTAAGCGTGCCTCAAGCAGAAATGTTGCAGGCAAATACATGAGTATTATATAATAAAGTGATCAATGTCGGTATTAAAAATTCAAGGATTTGCTTTAAATTAAGTAAAACCTTTACCAAGTAAAAATGAGACTATTATGTTAATAAAACAGATCGTGAAAATGAGTTTCCTATTTTATGTAGTAGGAAACTGCAAAACAAAAAAATGCTTTGATTTCTGGTGAGTGAATGTATATATCGCCTGAAGAAGTAATAAGACTATTTATTCTAAGGCACCTTCAACTGTCAATCCATGGGAAACCACCCCCCCCCCCAAAAAAAAAAAAAAAAAACTAACGAAAACGACCTCCTGAAGAGGCCAAAGTATCACTGAAGAGGGTGCACCGTTTGTCAATCAGTGATAGTTTGGCCTTTCAGAGTTTTCTGGTTCTGAAGAGCAGAAGTTCACTCTAAGCGGATTCTCCACCAGTTTTGGGGTGGAAATGATAAAATGTGTGTCTCAGACTCTTTTAAAGAATAATATCAAAATAAGTTTGAGAGAGTGGGAAAATTGGGCTCCGTTTGCATTTCAGCTTCTCAGGAAATCCAGGAGGCGGTGGAATAGTAAAAGCAAACGACAAGTAAGCATTAAATGCATATGCCACATTTATACCATCCATTTGTTTCAAATTTCCTCTTTTTTTCCAGTTCTAGCTCCAGGTCCTGTTCTTCTGTAGGTCTAAAAAAAAAAAAAATGGTGTTCTCAAGACCCATCAACTAACTTCTGAATAATTTTTGTTTAATACGTGTTCCGAAATTGCTCTCAACTTCGATTACACTTTCATAAATAAACTGTAGGCACCCACTGCCTTGCTTGTATTGATTTTTGCTTTCTTGTGATACTGAGACTATTTCGGTCTGGTTCCTACACGTGGCCGCGCACGTGAGAGAACCTGGCGCCCCAAGGCCGCAGGACTCACTCAGCGAGCCCTGCCCTCCGCCCCTGCCCCGCCGCCCCGGCGTCTCCTGATCGCACCTGGCACCTACTTATCTTTCACGTTGATAGACTTTCGCAGTTTTTCGTCCGTGAAGTTGGAACTGGGGCTTCTGATCCTGGCTAAAACTAGCATTTCCCACCCCATTCGAACGGCCTTGGTGGCCAGCGGGTGATGACAATACTGGTACAGTTCTGCCATCGGTGTTATTGCCACCTCAGCACCACGATGACAGTCACCAGCCCCTTCGGGCTGTTTCAGAAAAGACCGCAAGCTTAACTGATTATTTTAAAAATGCAGCCGAATTCTAATTCTCACGAGGTCCTCTTTTCCACTTGCGAGATAAGCCTTGTCGCAAACATTACCCTATTTAATGTTTGATCAAACCTTCGTGCCACCGCGGCTTCGGGCGCGGGGCTGGCTCACCAGGCACCAAGTGAGCGGAGCTGCTAGAGCCAGCTTGGCACATGAGGGGAAGGCGCCCTACCGCCCCACTCGGGTTGGCTTACCCTTTGAATAATTTATGGCCGGAGAGTTCTGGAAATTAATAAAATGAATGATAACAAGCAGCTAATTAAAAACTTTCGTAATTGTTGTCATGTCAGCTTTGCAGGAGGACCGGCAGCCCCCCATTCCCTCCCAGAAATACAGTGGATGTGCAGGGCGGGGCGCGGATCCGGAGGTTGCAAACTTCCGCGGCCCAGCGCTGCTCCGACTCAGGGAGTTATTTCGGAGGCCGCCTCGCGGGGCTGCTCCCTCTCCGGCTGCGCGCTGCAGCTCGCAGGTCTCCCGGGCGTAACTTTCAGACTTCAGGGCGGGTGGGTCGGCATGTGCAGTTTCAAACCACAGGCAGAGCTGATTGGGTTGAATTTGAAGACAGAAGGGGACCCGCCCTCCCCCGACTCACGCAGGTTTCTGGTTCATCCACCCACCCACCCAGGCGTCCCAGCGCCTTCAGGAGCACCAGCTGCGGCTCCTGGGGCGGCGGCGAGGGGACCGCCGCGCATCCTGTCTGCACCCCTCCGTCGCCCTCCTGGAGAAGCAGCAGCCCACAAGCTTCCAGGTCGCAGCTCCGCTCGAACTGCAAGACAGTCCCCGGCCTGCCAGCCCTGGCCAGGATTCGGCTAGGCCCGGTAGGACCTGAGAAGGTTAACTGCCCTAGGTCAGGACGTCCGGCGCGCGTGCGCAAGGGTGGCCGGCGGGTGCGCACGGTGGGAGAGGGGAAGGAATGGGGCGCGCAAGGAGCGCGCCGGGAGCGCGCCGAGCCCGCACATGCGTGTTGGCGCGCGCCTAGTTCCCTCGGAGAGTTGGACTGAAGTTCCGCGGCTCAAAATTAGGCGCTCCCGGAGGTCCTCTCCAACTCTTATTTGCCCTTGAGGACGTTCAGAGAGAAGAGGGAACGGACCAATGCCTCAAAGCGGTTAAAAAACTCTCTCCCTGCCTAAGTCAACAACCTCCTTAAGCATCACAAAACTTTCAACAACTGCGGTACACGTTTCTAAAAGAATTGGGAGGAATGGGAGCTTGGCATTGTTTTGTTACTAAGGTGCATATTACCAAAACTCTGCTATAGATTTGAATTTATTAGGCAAGCATTTATATCCGGTGTGAAATGCAGGCTTGCCGCTAGGCTTTCGTTCAGGAGAATCCTGAATCGCAAAGTTGAAGCTGAAAATCTCCGATAGGTGAGTAGGCGGCATAGCCCTAGTGTTGAGAGCAGCATCCTGCTCTTGCAAACCAGGGGCTGGGGAGAAGCACCCGCGTCCCGGTCTCCTCCCCAAGCCTCCCCGGCGAAAGGTAGCTGCTTTCTGATTGAGGGGGAAAAAAAGGCGTGGAAGGAAAGTTGGCAAAAGGAGTGGTGGAAGAAGAGAGACTCCTCGCATTGGTTAGGTAAAAGGAATCACAAAAGTTTGTTTGATAACTCTGGGGCCTGGCCTCAGTACAGTATAATATATACAAACTTTTGTAGACATAGATTAGGATAAAACAAAGTGTTGACAATTTCCAGCCGTGGAAATTCACTTACACCAGTTTCTCCCTTTCCCCGCCCCCACCAAGTGTTGACAATAAACATTTAATGAAGGCAGAGACCTGGTTGTCTCCAGACAGTGTCAGAATACTTTAAGCAGACCATTAGCACCGGCCTCTTCCACTTCAAACATCGCGGTACACTCTTAACGTTATATACACATGTATATATAAAATACTACATGTGAGACAAATAATACATTCGTACGGATATCTTAAGTTGTCTACAGTAGTTCTGATGCCCCCTGCACTTACTAATAGAAAACTAACTCATTGTAGATTACTCGCGCTTAAAAAATGTTAAATACAGTTAATGCAATATTAATCGCCCTTTGGTGATATAAAATGCAATATTTTCAGGCAGCTATTGAGCTTTTCTAGAAGAAGAGCTGATGTAAAGAGTCACAGCTGAATAGTGGAGAGAAAAAGCCCGGTATTTATTGCTTTTGTTTGGCTTTTGGCTACAGAGACAGGAACCTTCTAATGGGGTAAGGACATTTATTTTATCTGCAATCTATTGCTGGGAGAGCAGGGGCGGCAGATGGGGCTGGTGCGATATTCACAGTGTAATTTAGAGCAAATCCTAATAACTAATAATGATTTATGTTAATTTTGATCACTTATGTGACTTCACCAAAGCGTTGTAATGAAAGAAAGAGAAAGAAAAGGAAGCTGAATGTGACAAGGAGCTTTGAGGCTGACATTGGGGCTTAACTGTCCTGCACTTTGCGCAATCTTAAAATGTGTTGTATGAGTTAGTAATGGAAATGCAGGCATTTAAAAAAGCAAGTAGGATCCAGTTGATTCTGGGCAGGGATATTTCCCGAGGGCTTGCGTTTCTTCTGAAAATTTATCTAAATGTGATGGACTGTGACGCCTTTGAGCCGCAGACGCTTTCATCCCAGTTTTAAATAAAACAGATATGTTTCCATTGTTTGTTTTGCTTATATTGAAGTGTGTGTGTGTGTGTGTGTGTGTGCGCGCGCGCGCGTGTGTGCTGGCTGTTGGGAGAGGGAGTCCATTGTATTTGACGCCGGAGTGCACGCCGGGGTCTTCTTTCCAAAGTGTAATCTGAACCGGAGGCTTGAAAGCAGCCTTAGCGCCTAGGAGCGGGCTCCCTCGAGCACCACTGCCACGCCTTATGCAAAAGTTTTATTACTGGCTGCTTAAGCAAGTTGCCCGTTCCTAATCTTCACCGGATATTTGTTTGCCTAGAATCAACTTTTGTAAAGCTTTTCGATCCCTACCTACGTCTTTCTCTTCTCCCAAGGGATTCCGAGGC